AAGTTGAGTTGCCAAGAGTAGTTTGTGAGTACTCAGATGTTTTTCCCAAGGATCTTGTTAGTTTACCACCCATCGAGAGATCGAGTTTTTCATTGACTTAGTACCTGGCACGACACCGATTTCCATAGCACCGTATCGTTTTGCCCCAGCTGAGTTGAGTGAGTTGAAGATTCAACTCCAAGAGTTACTAGATGAGGGTTTTATTCACCCTAGTACTTTGCCCTGTGGAGCACCGACCCTCTTTTCTAAAAAGAAAGATGGGGCTTTGAGACTTTGCATTGATTACCGAAAGTTGAACCGGGTCACGGCTAAGAATAAGTATCCTATGCCTCGTACAGGTGATTTGTTTGATCAGTTGAAAGGATCTCGTTGTTTCTCTAAGATAGCCATGGGATCGAGTTACAATCAGTTGAGGGTTAGGGAGGAGGATATCCTAAAGACGGCATTCCGTATGCGGTATGGCCATTATGAGTTTCTGGTGATGCCATTTGGGCTTACCAATGCATCGGCTGTGTTCATGGACTTGATGAACCAGATCTTCCGAGAATTCTTAGAACGCTTCGTAGTCGTCTTTGTGGACGACATTCTGATTTATTCACCTTCTACGGAGGAGCACGAGGAACACTTACGAGTGGTGCTGGAATTGCTTGGAGCCTATAAGCTACTTGCTAAGTTTGGGAAGTGTGAGTTCTGGCTAAGAGAGGTTAAGTTCTTAGGCCATGTAGTATCCGGGGAAGGGGTGATTGTGGATTCATCTAAAATTGAGGCAGTGCAAGATTGGGCACAGCCTAAGAATGTCGTTGAGATCCATAGTTTTCTGGGATTGGCCAGGTATTACCGTCAGTTTGTAAAAGATTTCTCCAGACTAGCTTCGCCTTTGACTAGATTGACGTAGAAAGGGGTCAAATTTGTGTGGAGTAAGACTTGTGAAAAGTCGTTCCAAGAGCTTAAAGTTAGACTCACCATTGCTCCAGTCTTGATAATTCCGGAGAGGGGTTTGGGCTATTTAGTGTATTGTGATGCCTCACGAGAGGGTTTAGGTTGTGTATTGATGCAAGAGGGGAAAGTAGTAGCCTATGGCTCCTGGCAGTTGAAAACACACGAGAAGAATTACCCTACTCATGACCTAGAGTTAGCAGCAGTGATATTTGACTTGAAGATTTGGAGGCACTATTTGTACGGTGAGAGATTTGAAGTATTTTCTGAACATAAGAGTTTGAAGTATCTATTTACACAGAAAGACTTAAATCTGAGGTAGAGAAGGTGGATGGAGTTCATAGAAGATTATGACTTCAAGTTGCATTATCATCCAGGAAAGGCCAATGTTGTGACCGATGCCCTAAGTAGGAAGTCCATCAGTAGTGTATCTTGTATGGCTATCTGGGAGTGGAAGATGTTGGGTGCTCTCAGTGAGTTTGACTTGCATCTAGGCGAGTCTGTTGAGTCTGCAGCCTTGTTCTTTGTAGTTGCACAACCTACACTTGTGAATCGAGTGTTAGAAGCACAGAAGGGTGATTTTAAGGTAGAATCCGTCCGGGTGAAGATCTCCAGTGGGAAGGTAGAGAAGGGTTTGACTGTGTATCTCGACCTGAGGGTGAGATACTGAGACCACTTGTTTGTGCCGGAGTCTTGCCGACAGGAAGTACTTTGAGAGTTTCACCATTCACGCCTTGCGGTGCATTCGGGAGGCACAAAGATGTATCACGATCTGAGTCGCCAATTTTGGTGGAGGGGTATGAAGAAGGATGTGGCAGTGTTTGTATCGAAGTGCCTTACTTGTCAGCAAGTCAAAGCCGAACACCAGAGGCCAGCAGGTTTGTTGCAATCTTTACCTATAGCTGAGTAGAAGTGGGAGCATGTCATGATGGATTTTGTTATGGGTCTTCCGAGGACTCAACGGGGTAGTGATGCCATTTGGGTGGTAGTTGACTGGTTGACCAAGTCGGCACACTTTATTCCTATACATGTAAGAGATTCGGTAGATTACCTTGCTGACTTGTATATTCGGAACATAGTGAGATTGCATGGGGTCCTAGTGTCGATTGTCTCAGATAGAGATCCGCGTTTCACTGCCCGGTTGTGGCAGAGTTTGCAGAGTGCCTTAGGCACTAGATTGACTTTTAGCACGGCTTACCATCCTCAGACTGACGGGCAGTCCAAGCGCACTATTCAGATACCTGAGGATATGCTTTGAGGCTGTGTCCTTGACTTTAAGGGGTCGTGGGAGAGACACCTACCCTTAGTGGAGTTTTCTTACAGTGTTGGTTCAGGAAATGACAGAGAATGTGGCACTTACCCGTAAGAGGCTAGTTACAGCCCAGAGTCATCAGAAGAGTTATGCCGACCATAGGAGGAGACCTTTGTCATTCAAGGTGGGTGATCATGTCTTTTTGAAAATATCACCTAGGCAGGGTTTGATGAGGTTTGGGAAGAGTGAGAAGTTGTCTCCTCGGTTTATTGGCCTTTTTTAGATCCTTGAGCCGATTGGGGAGGCTGTATACCGTTTAGCATTGCCACTGCAACTTTCTGGAGTGCATGACGTATTTCATGTTAGTATGCTTCAAAAGTATGAGCCAGATCCATCGCATGTGCTGGATTGGACCGACTTAGAGGTAGATGAGGATGCCTCGTATGAGGAGAGACCAATGAGGGTCTTGGATAGACGGGACCAAGTCTTGCGAGGCAAGATGATTCCCTTGGTCAAAGTATTGTGGAAACATCACGGAATTGAGGAAGCAACTTGGGAGCATGAAATGGAGGTCCGAGAGAAATACCCAGACTTATTTATTGATGTTTGAATGTATATTGGAATTTTGATTTTGTTGATGAACTATAAGAGCATTGTATATGTTTGAGATTGTAAAACATTGTGAATGTTGAGTATGTTTTGGAAACACAAGTTAAATTCGAACATTGCATATGTTATTTAAGTTTTGGAAGTGTAACTTGTTACAAACATTGAATATGTTTTGGAAACATGAGATGTATGTGTTGAAATTTGTTAAATCTCAGAATATGCATATTGGTAATTTATGTTGAGCTGTATATGTTATGGATTTGTTCTCTTGCGAAGAGATGGAATGACCGGTGGATGGATCATGATAGTGAATGTTGAACTAAAATCACGTTGGGAATTGAATAACCATAATTTTGAAACTTATAAAAAATTTCGGGGATGAAATTCTTTAAGGGGGGGAGGTTATAGCAATCCAGGTTTTACCCTAACCTTTATTGTGTTCCGGACTCAGGTTCCGTGGTTGTATACTGTTGTCTATGTCTTGTTTCCTTCCTTTTACTCTTTGTATTTGAGTTTTGGGTCGTGTTGGGTGAGTTTGAAACAAGTTGGTTGTGAGTTGATTCAAATGGTTGCAGCCCTGGTTTTGGCTTCTTCGCTAAAGCGAGGCTTTTTGCACTGGAGCAAGCCTTGGGTATTTGTTTCTTTGCTTGAGCAAGGGTTCTTGCGCTCGAGCGAGGATTGAGAGTCCTCGGGTTCCTTTTTTGGATGCAGCCTTCGCTTGTGCGAAAACTTTTGCACTCGAGCGAGAACTCTTGCGCTCAAGCATGCGTCTGCGTTCACTACAAGAAATTGCATTTTTCGCAATGTAACAAAATATGTTGCTAAAAGGGAAAATTCGTTGGCAAAAAGTTTTGCCGACACACAAAGCTACGTTGGCAACCCGTAGGTAAAGGTGAGTCGGTAAAAGTTTTTGCCAACGAACTTATCATTGCGTTGGTAAAAGTAATGCCTTTAGCGACGAGCATAGTCGTCGTTAAAAGCCTTCATCCTCGTCGGCAATTTACCTTGCGTCGGTAAAAGTCATTCAAATATGATGATTGTGTGACACTTTTCGCGACACAAATTTGCATGGGCAAAAAATATACTTTTAGCAACAAAATATGCGTCGGCAAAAGTAAACTTTTGGCGACACATTTACGTCGGTAAATGTTGCCATTTGCCTACGATTTGTTTGTCGATAAAGCTTCACTTTTGGCAACGAAAAATTAGCATTGGAAAAAAAATACACTTTTAGTAACACAATATGAGTAGGCAAAAGTAAACTTTTGACAACACATTTACATCGGTAAATATTGCCATTTGCCGATGATTTGTTGTCGATAAAGGTTTATGTTTGGCAACGACAAATTGGCATTGGCTAAAAATACACTTCTAGCAACACAATATGAGTGGGCAAAAATAAATTTTTGGCGACACATTTACCAACAAAAACAATTGAAAATAATTTATATATTTTTATAAGATTTACAGATTTACAAGAGGCATCCCTCAGGCACCACTATTACAAACTAATAACATTGATATGAAATCACCTAAAGTTGATGTGTAAGCAAAAAAAACACTGCTGATACTACTTTTAGAAGTAGTGTATAAAACCTAAAAGGGTAAACTCACTAAAATACCCAAATACATCCAAATTGTGAACCCACATTACAAACAACAGATAACAAAATGAAAACATGAAACTAACAAAGATAGGCAAAACGACACGAAAAGTATCCACAAACTTATCCAGCAGACCAACATCTAGTAGCAGCCGCCTCACAGCAACATTGCAGCAGCAGCCGAGCAAGCATCAACCACAAGGGTGGCGGCAGCAACAAACCAGCAGCAGCAGCCGAATCTGATTCATGCATCTCAGATGAGCTTGGTGCATCTGCAACCTCCAGGCCAGCTGCATTATTTGACATTCCTGGGGGCATTTCAGAAGAGATGACCAACATGTAAAGGCATTTTAATAGGAGCTACTCAAGCCAAGTTCTTTGCTAATCCTTGCATGATAATTAGAAGAAAAAAAAAAGAATAGGCATCAAGGAATGGCAAGTTAATGCTGAATTCAAGCATGGAGAAGTTATTCTAGATGTTTCATCTGATTAGGAAGTGAAAACAAAATTCTTATGGCTGAAAAGAGCTTTAATTTATTCACAGGATTAATGACTTCAGACAGAGTGTAGTTTGGAGGTCCTATAACCAAAAGATTTGATCAGCATCCCACCTCAATTAAACTTGAAGGCAACATTCCCAAGCCCTTCACAAACTGTTCCTAGTTCCAATTATAGAGCAGAGTAATAAATAAACTTTCAGCAACTTGTTGACTCTCTCTCTCTAACCATTTCCAACTGCAATTTCCCATCTCAAAGTTACTTCTCTTTATCAACTACCAATATATTTTCTAAGGATTGACTACACGATGCAGACAAGACAGGAAGTGTTTCCAGGTAGAGAAACACTGAAAGGAGTGGGAGGGAATTATATTGAGTAGAGCTCAAACTTGCAAACAAATCACAAGAGACACTAGAAACAAACACAAAAGAAATAAATTGTTTCTTTTACACTGAAAACAAGTAACATTAAATTAGACAATTCTAAGAAATAGACATGTCATCTTAAAAACTGACTAACCTGCATCCAACCTTTCCACTCTTCAATTTGATGCCTGTTCAGATACTGTATGGATTTTCCTGAGATTGGTGACTTATCATGATGAATCTTGAAAGAAGTAATTGCTGAAACTATGATGAGAAGGAAGTAGAGAAATAAGAAAAGATCCCGATTGTAACTCTGCAAAAACAAATGATGGTTAAAAGACAAGCTCATTGGACACAACTTTGATGCAGATGGACCAAATTATAACTGAAATAGATACAGAAAACAATAACTGTATATCCTGGCCATTGTGAATTTTATGTGGAGAGGTGAAGTCCTCTCTAATTGTTTGGTTACACATCCAAGGAAGCAAAAGAGAGACTGAAGCATCTGATTTTATGTGGAGAGGTGAAATCTGCTATATATAGCAGCACAAGCACTTGCACTTCTAGTTCAGTGAAGGAACTAATAGCAAATATAGCAGATTTCTACTTCTTATGGTTTTAGAAACATTAAGTAAACATAATCGCCAAGGCTAAAATGGAAGAAGGATACCACAGTTGATCCTAAATCATAGGTACAATAGAACAGAAATATTGTTGACTAATTATTCACAATGAATACTATGACATTAAATAATTAAATAGTAACTTCAGAACATAAATTTTCCTATACACTTCAATCCAACAATTAAAAATTCATTATCACTGTACGATATTCATTTTTATGACTTATGTTGAATGTCTAAAAAAGTTGGCACCGGGATAGAAGTATGAAAGATTTTGAACAACGAGATAGATACAAGTACCTCCCCAACATCATTCTGAAAACACCTAATAAGCTCACTAGTATTATTTCTGAACTCATTTTCACGGCCCTTCAAGTTCACTATAATCTTAACCTGTAGGAATTGACTAGATATCAATATAGTAAAAGGAATGCAAAATCATTCATAAATTAGTGTGTCAGTATGAATATGCTGGCACCACAAAAAAAAAAAAATTCAAAACCACCTTGTCTCCATCATTCAGAAACTTCCGTGCAGCTTTCAAACGCACATCGATGTTGTAACTGTCAACAGAATCAATAGAAATGAGTACAATAAACAGAAATGCATTTAGTAACAAAAAGTTCTATACTTGTTTATCAAAACAAGATTTTAAGTTGTATACAGACCCCCAAAAATGTGCATTAAAATGGAGAGAAGCTTAAAAAATGGAAGAAAAGTTAAATTTACAAATATAAAGCCATATACAAATAAATAAATAAACATTTACCTCATTTAGTGTTCAACATTGCAGAAAGGGGTTTTAAGCATGCAAGATTTTTACCAAACCATGATATACAGATTCTAATAAAAACATTGGTTACATAACCTCAAAAGAACTGGAACCCAAATCACTACAAGCTAATCAAGTCATTGCTGGTACTTTATTCATTAAATGCATTTATGTTGAATCCAAAACAGTTGATAAAAATTCAACTAATCTATGATAGATAATAAATATTAAGTGAAATTTCAAATCCTACGATTAGAAGTGTAGTATTCAATGTAGTACATTTGAACAAACAAATAAAAGGGTGGGTTGCTGAAACATAAAAATTATAAATAAGTAAGCCCAATAGTAGAAGTGAGGTGTACAGTTCTCTTCTTTGTTTTTTTTTTCTTTTTTGAGATCTGATAGAAGTACTCAAATCTCACACACACAACTACATCATCTGCCAAAAAGAGGTGTATAGTACCCTCCTATCCTTGACATGACTTTGTACATTGAATTGAACATATGTGTAAATCCAAAATATTTTATATAAAATTCAACTGGTCAACAATACACTTGAACATTACCCCATGAGTTTAGAAGTCAAGCGATTCAACACAGTAGATATGAAATGAAACATCCCAATAAAAGGGTAGATTACCAACACAAATAAATTATAAATAAAAACAAGTGCACAAAAGACACAAGGTTGAGGTGTATATTTCCCCTCCAACTGGGTATTTCATAGCTGGTCCTAACTGTGATCAATCTTATGATGTGTCAGTACAATGGATGATCAGGTTTAACAGCTACGTATCGACAATTCAACATCCACGCTGACCACATCACAAAGTTGGCCTACATTTTCCCTATGTACACCTTTAATTGGTAAAACAGAATGATGTCATTCATTAAAATCCAATTTCCACCATTTATTTCAGTCAAAAATAAGAAAGAACAGTAAGAACAATTGCTCATTCCCAAATGTAGCAAGATGTTAATATCCCAAGTTTCAGATTGGGCAAGTTCGAATACCAATCAGTAGTATATCAGATTGTTTTGGTAAATTTGACACTTTTTTAATTGAAACTACACTTCCCATGTTCTATGTGCATTTCAACATTCAAAGGCACATCCACGAATTACAAAGGAGATGAAGTCATTGGGAGATTAGAAGACAAGAAGGCAATGGAAAACAATATGCAAATTTTAATAGGAAGATTATAAGTGAAAGCGAGCTTCGAAGGCCAAGTTAATTACCCCATCTTGAGCTCCTTCAAATCCACCCTGTTGGCTATCATTCAGGTGCATAATTTTATTAGTATCTTTCCTCATAACTGATCATTAATGCATAAATAAGAGAAAACCAGCAAACTACAAACAGAGGAGACATTCACCAATACTTTTCTTTTGTTGTTCCCTTTTCTTCTTTTGTAGTTCATATCTATATTTACTGCAAGGGAAGTAAAATTAGATATCAATATGCATCAAGTCTAACCATTCACAAGACAGATAAGCAACATACAAAATATAGGTAAGGGATAGAACATCAACTTCGACATCTATATTTTCAACCATTGTCTCACCCCCAAGCCTTAAATTTAATGTTTTATTTCAATGCCCTTAACTATAAGCAATTGTCCAAAATAGTAGCCTAAAGTAAATTAGTCAATTGCAATAATAATGTGAAGATCACATAAATCTTCATAAAATATGCACCATGAAATTTCCTAAAGATTAGCCCCATATTAGTAGAATGTAATATGTATCCATCAAGAAATTAATACCAACGTGATCTCAGAGCAGGATTTTATCGAAGCATCAAAGTGCATCCACCATTAAAAAAAGAAAGCAGAAGAATGTTTGTGAGTACATGTCATACTTGTAATCCATTATTCTGACAACTGGTGGATCTACATCTGGCGATAATATTACCTGCATTAGTAACAATAGAAATATAATCAAATAAACTCAAGCACAATGCCACATGAGAAGCTCAAAAGGCAAACACTTTCCACAACTGCACAAAATAAATATAAAAAAAAATACATAATAGTTAAACGTTTGACAAAACCATTGATTGGGGAAAATGAGCTCTAAGACAACCGCTACTGATAGCGAAATTACCAGAGTCAAAGAAGAGTATCACCTTGGGTGGAGCACTAAGAAAATCAAAAAACGGTGAAAGAGATCCTCAGCCTGACCGGATGGAAGTAAAAAATGTTCAGCATCTTAACAGAGATGAAGTTAAGGAAGAACTAACGACCACAGATGTCAGAAAAGGGGAAAACCTAACAAAAGAGGAAAACCTAAAATTGAGAGGTAAGATAATGGTTAAAAATAAGGTAAAGACCAAAAACCAACCTTCCAAAGCAATACCTGTACAAGACCATGAAGGGTCAATTTCGCCTTGTAATCAACATAAATTTCCATTAGCTGAAAGGAAGAAATGTCACGATGAAGCATATTAGGAGCCTTCCTGAAGGTAATGGAATCCAGCACGAAATGAATGATGGATGAACATCCCTTCAATTGAGATTCCGGTCCATTTGATGTCTCCTTGCAGATATTCTAACTCACAAGAAGCAAGTCCACTGTTGCTCAACATATATACTATTATGTAACCAAAAGGAGCCACAGGTAAGACATCCAGCATCAACCCCATTAAAAACCCACACTCAAGGCCTAAAGTAAACAAGAAAATAACTAGGGATGTGAACAAAAGAAAAAATAAGGTACCGAAGAACGAAGAAACTATCCCCACACATCAAACCTAAAGACCAATCTTTCTTCTGCCACTACCCATCCCCTATCATATTACATACTTAGGTAGAATATTGAATAATGGGCATAAACAAAATGTTTTTGTAGATGTACTTACAATATGTATATATTTATTGCTTTACATTTGTCACTTTGTTCAAATTATGCTAAAGACTAAACTGTTTTTCTATTTTTAATATGGATCAATTGATAGTTTTATGAAGAACTTAAGTTTAGGTCAAGTAGTTGAGATCCTTGGGTTTTATTTATTTTTTTTTTCTTCAAACATTCAAGTGATTATACTCCTTGATTTCTAAGAAATAAATTGGGGGAGATTCTGAGTTTGAATTTATGGTGAAGCATTGAATGTTTATAAGTAGTAATTTAACTTACTACTAACTAATTAACTAACTCACTAATTTTGACAATCGAAAAAAAAATGTAATTTGATATTTTTAATTTTTTTTTTTAATATTAGTTTGGTGGTGTGTGTGATTTTTCAGTGGTTCCATTGTCATCTTCATCTTCATCACCTGGAATGGTTGCTGTAGGGCAGGTAGGAAGCTATGGTGGGTATGGATCTGTGACTATGGAGAAACGTTTTAGGGTGAGTTATACTATAATATACTACTCTCTAATCTAATACTAGTTACTGACTCACTCACTAAATACAAGTTGCCGTCGTTATATAGTTGGGCAGCCAGTGAACACAAAATCATGGTCTACTTATTGTCTTCCTCTCTCAACCTTTACAATTTCCTTGTTTGGCAAAAAGCCAACATGAAATTTGTACATCTAGTGTAGTTTATATGCATCATTAAAATAAAACTTTGTCTCTCCAAACAATTATAAAAGGAGAGACAACCTAAACATTTTCTTCACTTGAATCCTTCAAAACAGCTATTAAAAAAAGCCCTTTAGTTTTGTTGTTTGTTGTTGCAGTAACACTAGAGGGCAAGGTTTAATAAACTTCATAAAGGTAACTCTTTTCTCTTAAAGCCAAACAACAAGGGTTACAGTCTATGCAAAGAAAATTTGAAAATAGAAGAACATTGATAATTAGAACATTGATAATTAGAACATTGATAATCATTAAGGTATATTTGTTTTCTCACGTGGCTTCACTTTTATGCTTGGATGCAACCACCCTATGTACAAGGACCAGAAACATCCACCTTACAATTTACATTGTGTCATCATTTTGAACTATATTGATGTTTTTTCTCAAGAATTTATAGCAGACTAATGAAAGAGCAATTATTGCATACAAGGACGACAGTAGCTTTTTAATTTTATTTCTTTCTTCTCCTTTTCTTTTTATGTTCTTTGCCGATTCAAGTGCAGCTTTAATATGTCAGGTTTTGATTCTTTTTGTGGTTGTCAATCAATCTTAGGATATGGAAACGATTAGCAATAGACTTCAAAAACTTTAGGCAATGTTTGGTTCCAATCCCATTGTTATTTATTACAACATTATGTAGTAAAAGTTATCCAAATTGTAGTTCATTATTCAACACTTTCAAAAATATCTCTCACTAATAATATAGCGATACAGAACAATCTATATAAGTCAGTCAATATCATTGTGGCACCATAACAATATGTATTGCAGTAGACTTGAATCGGAAACACTGATATTCTTTTCAACTTTATGTCATGGAACATGGTTAAGGATGATTTTCCTGGATTGATAAGCCAATCCAAAAGCAATCAGAATATTACACACATTTCTCTCTTATTCTGAATTTGACTGGTTGACCAAGTCGGCACACTTTATTCCTATACATGTAAGAGATTCGGTAGATTACCTTGCTGACTTGTATATTCGGAACATAGTGAGATTGCATGGGGTCCTAGTGTCGATTGTCTCAGATAGAGATCCGCGTTTCACTGCCCGGTTGTGGCAGAGTTTGCAGAGTGCCTTAGGCACTAGATTGACTTTTAGCACGGCTTACCATCCTCAGACTGACGGGCAGTCCAAGCGCACTATTCAGATACCTGAGGATATGCTTTGAGGCTGTGTCCTTGACTTTAAGGGGTCGTGGGAGAGACACCTACCCTTAGTGGAGTTTTCTTACAGTGTTGGTTCAGGAAATGACAGAGAATGTGGCACTTACCCGTAAGAGGCTAGTTACAGCCCAGAGTCATCAGAAGAGTTATGCCGACCATAGGAGGAGACCTTTGTCATTCAAGGTGGGTGATCATGTCTTTTTGAAAATATCACCTAGGCAGGGTTTGATGAGGTTTGGGAAGAGTGAGAAGTTGTCTCCTCGGTTTATTGGCCTTTTTTAGATCCTTGAGCCGATTGGGGAGGCTGTATACCGTTTAGCATTGCCACTGCAACTTTCTGGAGTGCATGACGTATTTCATGTTAGTATGCTTCAAAAGTATGAGCCAGATCCATCGCATGTGCTGGATTGGACCGACTTAGAGGTAGATGAGGATGCCTCGTATGAGGAGAGACCAATGAGGGTCTTGGATAGACGGGACCAAGTCTTGCGAGGCAAGATGATTCCCTTGGTCAAAGTATTGTGGAAACATCACGGAATTGAGGAAGCAACTTGGGAGCATGAAATGGAGGTCCGAGAGAAATACCCAGACTTATTTATTGATGTTTGAATGTATATTGGAATTTTGATTTTGTTGATGAACTATAAGAGCATTGTATATGTTTGAGATTGTAAAACATTGTGAATGTTGAGTATGTTTTGGAAACACAAGTTAAATTCGAACATTGCATATGTTATTTAAGTTTTGGAAGTGTAACTTGTTACAAACATTGAATATGTTTTGGAAACATGAGATGTATGTGTTGAAATTTGTTAAATCTCAGAATATGCATATTGGTAATTTATGTTGAGCTGTATATGTTATGGATTTTTTCTCTTGCGAAGAGATGGAATGACCGGTGGATGGATCATGATAGTGAATGTTGAACTAAAATCACGTTGGGAATTGAATAACCATAATTTTGAAACTTATAAAAAATTTCGGGGATGAAATTCTTTAAGGGGGGGAGGTTATAGCAATCCAGGTTTTACCCTAACCTTTATTGTGTTCCGGACTCAGGTTCCGTGGTTGTATACTGTTGTCTATGTCTTGTTTCCTTCCTTTTACTCTTTGTATTTGAGTTTTGGGTCGTGTTGGGTGAGTTTGAAACAAGTTGGTTGTGAGTTGATTCAAATGGTTGCAGCCCTGGTTTTGGCTTCTTCGCTAAAGCGAGGCTTTTTGCACTGGAGCAAGCCTTGGGTATTTGTTTCTTTGCTTGAGCAAGGGTTCTTGCGCTCGAGCGAGGATTGAGAGTCCTCAGGTTCCTTTTTTGGATGCAGCCTTCGCTTGTGCGAAAACTTTTGGACTCGAGCGAGAACTCTTGCGCTCAAGCATGCGTCTGCGTTGGTGGCAGACCTGGAGCTTTGCATTGTGTGCTCGAGCAACGCTTCTTGCGCTCGAGCGAGGCCACTTGCTGTGTCTGGTCAGTCGAGTGACAACTCCTTCGCTCGAGCGAGCCTCACATATATCAGTTCGTAGCAACATGATTTTATATCACTTTTTGCTCTCTTCTTCCCTAAAAACCCTAATTCGGCTGCCTCTCTCTCTCTCTAAAACTCTCTCTCTCTCTACAAATACTCCTTGATTTAGAGTCTCTCTACCCTACTCCCTTTGTAAAAAGGCTAGAGTTTTGTGTGGGCTTCCTTTTGATCCGAAAAAGGTGGGATTTGGAGCATCTTTGGGTTTCTCTCTTCTTCCCCTTTGAGCTTCTACACTTGAGGTAGGGATAATCTACTCTTTAATATGAGTTTTGACCTAGATATTAGCCATTTTGTATAAATGGTGGGATTTGGAAAGTTTGGGTGAAGTTAGTTGTAATATCCTTGTTCTGTAGTATGCTAATTGGTCCTTAACATGAATATGATTATGTGTTTGATATGATTTTGTGTGCCATTATGTGAAAATATGTGGTTTTGAATTTCTATCTGTTCACCATAGGAATATATATTTGATTGTCTGCTTTGAAAATTAAATTGAAGGCCTTATCGGCCACCGAAACCAAAATTGGTCGCGCCATTGTGATTGGCATAATTTTTAGAGCCTACGGTGAAGTTTAATTGAAAAATTGATTCGGACCAGATTAAATTGATGAATTAGTGCCCAATTATTTATTATTATTAAATTGGAATTAGTGGGGCTTTATATAAAGGGCCATATACACTCTCATGGTTTCTTTTTGGAGCTCAAAATCTGAGATATACACTTGAGAGGGTGAGAAGGCCGGCTATAGAGAGAGAGGTGGGAGAATTGTGCAAGTTTGGCCTTAAAGCTGGATAACTTTGGAGCTATACTCAAGAATTTGCTATTGATTGGAGAAATTGAGCCTCTAGGTAGGTAATTGATCTTGAATTCAAGTTTAAATAATGGTCAAGAACATGGATTAAATTCATTATAAGGAAATTGAGTTGATTTTGTTGTATTTGAAGTCATGGAATGCATGCATGTGCATAACAGCCAC